TTTTCATAGTTTTGGCCATCATTCATTTTGCTTATCATAACACTGGACTCACCAAAGTAGCACTTCTTCAAAATTAAATGAAAAAATACTACAAAAGGGTTTTCTGGTCTGACACCTATTTGCAGGATCACTGCTATGGTTACGGTAAGTTTAAGCACACAAACAAATTGTTTAGGGTTAGCAATGATCGTGGTGTGGGTAAAAATAACTGCTTGGTTAAGGTTCGGGAACAATTGTGGCCATGGTTAAAAGACACTATTCCTTCCTATGTTAGTCATTTTGGTTGACCCATCCAACCACTGCAACCTCTTCCATCTGCGGACTTTGTGGCTATATAACGACATCAAACTACTTCATCATATGGTCACATGATCTCACAAGACGGTTTTGTCACTTGAACATTAGGATGTGTCATTTGCTACAACGATTCATGGTGCCGTTTATCATGAGAAGACAGTCGCAACAGTGTGACAGACCAACAAACACGGAGGAGAGACTGCGGAGAGCACAGGTTAGGTAAAGTCAAACCAGGAGGTTGGTCTGTAAACTGTGATGGATGGTGACAACGGATAGTTTGGGCAATACTTTTAACATTGTTTGAACCTGAGGGTTTTGTTTAAAATCTTTAGTCTAAAATCCATCCACCATCCTGAACTCCACACCCTTAATTTCCACCATCCTACATATTGGGCACACTACTTGCTGCGTTGGCACTGAATGTTGGACGTGAGGTGCTGAACTTCAACTGTCCAATAAGGTCCATGTTGTTGTACACTGAGGTTTTATGAAGCATCTGTTTTATTAGTTTCCATCCCACCCTACCCAAGCACAGAACAACTCACGTCATGTTCAAACAAAGTTTACATGAGGTTGAAGAGACTCACCTTTAACATAGTTTGAAACATTATTTCGCCACTGGGCGTCACTGATATATCTCTGTTGTCATCTCTGTCTAAGGTGTCCAGTCAATGGAGGGTGTTATTGTTGTGGAACAACTTTGGCACAACATTCGCCTAGATCTCTGCATCTATGATCCCCAGGAATTTCCCAAATATAAAAACAATCAACGAACTCCCAGCCCAAGGAAACGTAATTTCCTGAACGGTGGCTGAGGGGTCTTGCCTGTGATGAAGCCCCCTCCTCAGCTCGGCTCAGTCCCGCCGGCGCAGGCAAGATCGCCTTAATAATATATTTGACCTTGACTCTCCTTGCTATTCTTTCCACCTTTACTTTTACCCTAGTGAGATAAAAAGACTACTTTCCTTGCGACATGGCTACTTTGAATTCAGTGTATTGTTATGTTTTCATATAGAATAAATTAGTTTTAGATGGGACACATTGTTTGAAGATGTATATCCTCAACACCTGAAATACCTCCTCTATTATTCTGACCTTCAAAAGTAGTCAAGACAGCCATATGCTAATACTGTAATGTCTAAGGGACTGACAGATTGTATCTCCAGTACTGGATAGAGAAGGAGGTTTCGACATTTAACTATAAAAAATCAAATTTTTTAGAGACAGAAGATATTGTTCAAGGTTTGTTTAAAGCCTGTGGTTTCATGCCATGGAAGAAATCAAATCATTTTTGTAATAACTGTGCTTCTTTAAAAAGTGCTTCTTTCCAGCCTGCAGGCTTTGCTCAACATCAGTGAGGGATATGAAAGGTGAAATTAACTCCCATTCTGATCTCCAGACAGATTTAAATGTTTCAGTCTTGTGAAGTTATGAATTTGGGGACAAGGTAAGCTGAGCTTTAAACTGTGCCTTTGGACAGCACGAACAACAAACGAGTGTTCTAATTAAGGATCTTTAGTCAAGTCCCGGCTCAGTTTCTGATTGTTTATATCCTGTTTTTTTTTTAATGACTTTATTTTCCCATTTTGCCTGCGTAGTAACACAAATATAAGACATGATTGAGAGCAGACAACTAAATGTCATGAAACTTGGTAGACCATAAATTTAAGATAATTAAATATAATAAATATTTTAAATACATAATATATAAAGTCATGATCGGTACATATGCATTTCTGCATCCGATTTGTCAGATCTGTCTGATCATTGTAAACGGAATATCTTTGGGTTTGGTTTGTTGGTTGGCCAAAACAAGACACCTGCAGACGTCACTTTGACCTCTGGGAAATTGTGATGGGAATTTTCTATCAGTTGATGAAGAAAATAATCATTATTTGCAACTCTAATGGCAATAGATGATTTACTTCCACTGTCTCTGCTTTTTCCCCCTGCTGTGAAATTGGCTTCTACTCCATTTAAGATAACCTCTGTGGATGTATCGTGCACTTTTACACATAGACCTGTGTTATCAGCGTGACTAAAATCAGTGGACTTCAGTGTGTTAAAGGTACTTTTCATGCTTTCTCAGGTCTGGCTGGCGTCTTGAGGACACTGTGAAACAGATCAGCGTCCCCCAGAGAATACCAAGAATTCAGTGTGAGTATGTGTGTGTGTTTGACTTCACACTGATGTCCTCTCCTTGTACAGTCTGCTGGCTCCCAGCACACGATAAGTGCCAGACAATGGCGGATTGTGGAGGTCAAATACAGTTTCTTTGTCTTGAAAAAAACAATGGACTCTATCTATAGTTTATTGGCTCTGCCATCTAAATGGACCCTGCCCAGAAGCTTTTTTAAAGGGACAGCAAGGTCAAGACCCCCAATCTCCTGAAAACTTTAGCAACAAAAACAATTACTGTTCTTACAGCAGTTTTGTTTTTCAACTTTTGTTTGTATGTGTGTGTCCCCAGAGCGTGATTGCAGGCCTTTGTGCCACCATACGTGAGGCTGCAATTATTGATTGTTTTCATTATCGATTCATCTGTCAATCATTTTCTCGATTAATCAATTAGTTGTTTGGTCCATAGAATGTCAGAGAATGGTGAAAATGTTTTTTTCCAGAGTGTTTCCCAAAGCCCAATGTGACGCCCTTAAATGTCGAAAGATATTCAATTTACTCTCACAGAAAACTAAAGAAACAGGAAAATATTCACATTTTAGAAATCAGAGAATTTTGACAACTTTGCTTGATTCAATAATGCCAATGATAATGAAGTAATTGATTAATTGACTTGATTAATTGTTGAATTTTTAATGTTAATATCTAATAATGATGAATAATGACGTTTCATCTGTTAATGATGTTTCACATCTTACATGCTACAGGCTGTAATTCAATGAAAGTAAAAACAGACTGAGGGGTGTCATTAATCAAGGTCTTAATATATGGAACAGCAGCAATCAATGTGTAAATATGTCCTTTGAAAAAAAAGTCCATGACCTGGGGAGAAATCCAATTCACACTTAGTAAAACTCGAGTAACTCAACGTCCTTGTGTGTGTTTCGACTCTCGTGCTGCTGGTCTGTATACTTCAAGCTTAATGAAGAGTGTGTGTGTGTGTGTGTGTGTGTTCTAGCGTGGTCTAGTGTGTTTTTATGAATGTTCTCTCAGACAGCTTTCCCTGCAGATTCGATATGGCTGATTAGGGCTGTTAGATGAGGATCAGAGATGACCTTGGTGGACGAATCATCTGCATTTTCTTCAGAGATTCAGAGAGAAGCTTCTGGGATAAATAATCATCATCACCTTGCTATACCATACTCACAATTCTTAAGTATGTGGTTTTTATGAAGCTTTTGTGACTATGAGTGCTATGTTTAAAAATGCATTTAGGCTTAATGTCACTTTGTAGGCTACTGACAGGCATTCAGCCTACAGTCTACTGCAGCTGTGTGTGTCAGAACTTACCAGAAGCTCCACTTGTTGGTATGTTGGTATATGGCTAATATGTTAGCAGACAATTGCATATTTACACATCCAGCAGATTATTACCATTAATGCTTCAGGCCACTTAACATGACTCAAATATTCAGCCTCTTTAAGTCTCTTTAGCTGCTATATGATCCAGCTAGTCTGCCATTTAGAGCTGGACAGATCGTGTACAGAGGGTTTATCAGAGCTTTTCAGCTGAAGGCTGCTGCGTCTGGAAACTCTGCTGATAAGAGTTATGAGACTGAACCAAAACAATAAAGTTTAAAGGCTTGTCATGAAGCAGAAGTACTGTTACCATGGTTACCTGCAGTTTAATATACCTTGCATACCCTGTTTGTTTTTGTTTTTTTTACCTGATGCCTGACAGCTAATCAGAAACAAGTATAATCTGTGCCCATGGTACAGTCCAACACCTAAATGAACAAAATAGCTGACGGAACACAAAATGACACATAGGGGTTTCAAATGGGATTCTGGTGCAGGTGTCGCAGGTGTGGGTCCAGTGAGTTGGGGGCTTGTCATCAGTAATCGATGAAGGTATTTTTAATACATCAGCTCTGTGCACCTACTGGGGATTGAATGTGGTTTCCATACCATTAAGGATGATTTATGGGATAAACACCCCCACCCCCACTACCACCCCAGACGACAGGTGTCACACATAAGCTTCAGCAGCCTTTAAGCATGTTATGAATGCAAAGCACAGGCCTCACATGGAGAAGGTTGAATGGGGGAAGAAGATGGATGGAAGGGGGAGATTGGTAGAAACGATGGCAGCGAGATAAAGAGACGGTAGATGAACATGCCTAGTGTTGTGTCACTGCTTCCTTGTTTTTGGAAAAGTTGATATTGCATAATGTTTAAAGCTGCTGTAATCAATGTTTTTACAATAACAGATTAAGTATCTGTGTAATATTAAAGTAGTGACAAACCCACAAATATCTGTCATGACAATGCTTTTTTTTTAGCATTATTGTTTCCAGCAACACCATGCAACTGTTTTTCATGAGAAAGCTCTGCCCCACTGTACATTGCATACTTGAATAAGCACAACTAAAGCACAACTCTAGACTGTTTTGCTCTTGGTTCATTATAATTTGCTATGCCTTGCCAGCATGACCAACCTGTGGTTGGTTTTGGTAAACGCTATCTTCTCCCTCCTAACGCGGAAGTTGGCGTAACAGAAAACCACCAATATCTACATATTTAAATATTTGTTCATTAAGCCTCAAATGGCAAGAAAAAATGTAAATCCGCCAGTGTTTTAACACTTCAGACGTGCTTGGTGTAATTTCATCGTATGCGTGAAGAGTTAGGGAGGCACATGATGCCAGGCGAAACTATGGCAGAGATGAGTGAGAGGAGTAAAAGGGAAAGACTGGGAGAAAAAGCAGGAAGCTGCAACGGAATTTCCACACCCTGATGTGGGTGGACCCCTCCTGCCCAGAGAACAGAGAGGGCACATTCTCCCATCTCTGCCTTCCTACCCCCTTTTTTCTTCTCTGCCTCGCCTCCCTCCCAGCTTTCTCTTTTTGCTCGGACAATAGGGGCCACGGTGAAACAATGCAGAAAGGAAAGGCCAGGGGTTTGTGCCGGCTGCAATGGGGGGGCGGGGGGGGGGTCTGAGGTACTGGGGGGGGGGGGGGGGGGGGGGTCTGAGGTACTGAGAGGGGAAGACGGGTGAGAGGGCCTTGGAGCTTTACAGGGATGTCAAGAGAAAATGATGGAGGCTTTCTTTTCCTGGGTGTGAGGGGGATGTAGAGAAAATCAGCAGGGGTGAGGGGGGTTGTTTAAGAGGTTGACGTAAGATGGAGTTAAGGGATGTAGGGTGGGGAGAGGCAGCTAGTGTTGAGAGTAACACAAGCGCATGGCCTAGGGGCCGAGGGTTATGTTTTTGTGGGACATTTTTCTGCCTGACTGAGCCTGAAAGTGATCATGCTGATCCAGGCAAAGAAAATCTAGGCCTTTTTGCTGTTGTGCACACACACAAGTTTGCGCACAAGATAACATTGTGAGCCAAAGCATTGAATTTAAAGCTGGACTAGTGAATCTTTTTACTTTAACAACTGATTAATTGACTAAATGGAATGTGAAAGGGTTTGCCTGAATCTGCAGCTGCTCTTAGCTCTACAGAGTGCTTTAGTGTCTTCCAGCTTATTGTTTTGACAAAGTTAGCGTATAACTTGTGAATTTAAAACTACTATTTAAAGTTGAGGAGGCAGTTGCACAGATAACAGACAGAAACCTGGACATGGTGCTTTTTAATGCCACAGAATCGCAGTTTCTATCTGAGCACAGCGCAGGTTTCTCAAAACCAGGTTTAAAGACCTGTAGAGGTTTATTATTCAGGTTTCTGAGACAAGAATGTTAGATATAATAACATGTGCGACACATAACCAGGATAACAAAATTATTGTCACAACTGGGATATTAATGTGCATTTAAATACTTTACATTTAATACAAACCATAAAATAAATTCTGTATTTTATACTAGATACTTACTGCACTTATACCAAAGGTCAAACATAAAAACACTGGAAAATATAAGGTAGTGTGTGAGTGTGTGTGTGTGTGTGTGTGTCAGCGGGGGAAGGTGCAAGTGACTGAGGAAAATAGATCCAGGGAGAGAGAGAGAGAGAGAAAAAAAAGAGAAAGTAGAAGAGATGTATTGACCTAAAACTGCCTCTGCTGTTATGTGTGTGAAAGAATGGAAAGACCCGATCACAACTCTGACAGCCATTTTACAGTCACCTACACACAAAACGCTGCCATGACAACAGCAGAGCTCACGTTTACAGCGAGCTACACAGAGATGAACTGACGGTGATGTCAGAAACGATAGTTCTGTCGGTTTTAAGGCCAAGTCACATGTATGTAAGCCTAATGCAAATAACACAACTCATATTATGATTCATCTTAAACCACTGAACCACCAATCGAACAGGGTATGAACTGGTGCTGTGCAGCCGAGCTTTATTCAAACCGACATTATTTTATTAACGTTTGTAATAATACCAAATGCCTGGGGTTGGATTATGGGGAAATGTGTATAAAATCAGGCACATGACATGAATATTTTTTCTAATCTTAACTTGCTACTTAACAGTAATTCAAAGTGGAAGCCTCAAGTTCAGAAACACAAGGGATAAAATGCATAAACACTTGAAACAAGTCTATGGTGTACCTTGCACTCCTGTGCCAGTTTGCTGGTTGGGTGGGAGATATTCTTCTTGTTCCCACTGAGTTGTCTAAATGTAGAAAAGATGACACATCAGGATACATCGAGATTGAAATTGTCCTGCTCTCTAAAACAACTGTAAACATCAGATTTTGTTGTCAGCATCTCAGGATCAAATGGCAAGTTTGTCTTTCCAGTCAACATCGATAACGTGGAAATAAAACACTGAAATGGAAGAAGACAAAACAATGTAATATATACCAGTTTTATTTATGTAGCACTTTTAAAAAATACGGTAACAATGTGCTTTATAATAAGACACAGTGGAAAAAGATAATACTAAGTTTGAACAATGACAAATAAAAGGAATAAATTCTGACATAGTGTAACTGAGTACATTAACTCAAGTACTGTAATAGAATTCTGAGGTACTTGTATTTTCATTTTATGCTACTTTATACTTCTGCTTCACTACATTTCACAGAAAAATATGGTACTTTTTACTTAATTATGACTATTATGATCTAAAAATGTACATTTCTCCAAGGGAGGATGTAAACTTATGAGACCCAAGTCACTTAAGGAGACATTCAATGCTCATAAGTTCATAGACATTACCACTTTTCATAAGTAATCAATATCACTGAGTCTATACAAGCTGCAATAAACACATCCACTAAAGCCCAAGTGACTTCTCTCTGTAGACTAACACTGACTGTGTTAGTCTCTGGCTCCATCTTGTGGCACTGGCATGTATTGCACTTATTGGATTAGTAGGTCAGAACAAACTGACTTCATGACCTTTAATGTTTCCCCATTTAGATGAAGTGGCAGGTCAGGGTGACTTTATTAAAATGGCTTGTTCTGACCACGACCACGAGTAGGACTATAAATAGGCCCAGAGATAAGCTCTGTCTGAGCTGCAGTGCAGCTCTTTATTGCTATGTGACGTTAGTAGTAATAGTAATAGTTATAGTATCATTGTTGATGCTTTTTATGAGCAACTTTCCTGCATTATTTCAGTTAGTAATTTGACGGGAGTGAGTCGCTTCACTTGCACTGGGCGCAAAGTGCATGCTCACAGAGGACTGCAGAGGCGCAGTAAAGGTGGTAAGAGCCGATGAAACAGTAGATAAACACATTATTTTATATTTTAAATAATAGTTTTTATAATGATTAAACATTTCAGTAGTGTAATGTTTTAATACTAATATTAATAAAAACACAAATCAAATAATAAATTCTGATGTAAGCAATTGAAACAAACTTCATATTAATCAATATTAAAGTTAGGCTACATTAAATTGCATCAATAATTATAACCTAATAATATAATATAGCCTACATTATTCTGAAATGGGCCTCTCTGTCTGTATAATGAGCACTTTTAATTTTGGGAAGTATGATTTTGAATGGAGGAATCCATTTTTGTTGCATTGTTTAAGGAGAAAAAAATGTTTGTTGGTTATATCATTTTTTAGGCTATAATAATTAAGTATTAGTGTTTTCTATTTTATTTTACTTCTTTATTTCTATTATTATTATTAGTAGTATTATTGTTGTTGTTGTTTATTTGGTTATGGGGTAGATAGCTCTGGTCCGCACTACTAGGTGGCGCTAACGCACCCTGACGCTGGTTGCAACCCGCCGTAAAGCCCAGGGAGGAGGAAGAAGACGCACACGTTAAGGGAGGGGGGGCGGTAGTTCACCATGTCGCTGTTTGCCGACCGCCAGAACACAACGCGAAGAAGAACTAGTAGTCGTTTCTGAGAGAAGCCGGTACCGTGGCAGAGCACAGCCGACCAAAGTGATTCTTCAGGCAGCCAGGAGGACCAGGAGCGGCGCCCCCCCCCCATCTCCAACCGCACATCTTAGCGCGTTAGAATGGGAAACCTGCCGCTCTTCTCAGGGTAACAGAATGATATGATGTTGCTGCATTATTGCCTGTGTGCGACCTGTCTGAACTTGCATGGACCATTTT